CTTAAGCAACCTAGCGCTGGTTTGCAAAGTTCAGATAAATAACAAGCAAAAACCATGTTCACTGGTCCATCATCTTCACCTGAAAGGGTGACAACCACACTCCAGCACATGAATAGAGGGGAAGTTCAAGTTAGTTTATATACCTATATATATAGATACATAAATACCCGTATTTTCAGGAGTCACTAGGGAAATAAATTATGATGATCCTGTCCACGAAGAAGATCAAATAAGAAGAGAGTGATATATATATCTTATATATATATATAAAAAGAGCATCCCACCCCAGAAATGTCTTCCTTAAGAGCAGAGTAGATATATTTTGACCTGCTGCACATCTGTGCTCTCATTTGGACCCTAGCTTCTGAAATGACAGGTACTTTCTCAGGAGAGGGAGGACTGTTAAAGGTCTAGCAACTATACAGAGGCATACCACAAACAGTAATGACTTGTGTCCAACAGCAATTCAACTTTAAAACAAAACCCTATCTCTGAAGTACTTGAAAGAATCACTACTCCCTATGACTAAAATAGGCAAGCTATTGCCCCTCTTCATTTTGTGTCTTTAGTTTGACTTGCAGAGTTATTCATCAAACCAAATACAGCTGCATATCTGATTTACAATGTGAAAGGTATATGGTAAAAGTCATCTTATTCAATAGAAAGTACACCATTTGAAAATGACCAGTTGCTTCCCAGAACTCCTCAGTCATATGGTGACTGCCATGGTATAGATGAACAATAAGAATGAATAAATTCATGTTTCAGATCTGTACAATTTGTGCTTTGGAATATCTGGAATAGCAATATAAAAAAGATCTCTATAGCAGTCTGATTAGATCAGTGAAAACAGGTAAGAGAAGCCACAGCTGCAGAGAGCATTCTGAAAGACAGGTGAGAGTTAATGGTATCATCTTCATGTCAGAGGAATGTCATGAAGCCTTCATCACACCTGGACAAGACATTGCTGTAAACTAAGAATCAGAATGGGGAAAGGGTAAAGAAAAACACTGAATATACTCTCTGGTGTGACAAGCACATTCCTCCTTGTATGAATATGCCACAGATTCCATGACAACAATAAGAACTAATATATTTATCAGTTTGAAAGCAAGTCTGTCTCTTAATGCCACAGTTTGCATTCATGGGCCTAGGATAATTTCAGAAATGTTTACAAGAAGGTACCATGGCTGTGTAAGGGATTAGGTGTGCTCTGATTCACCTGTGACTTGCACTTTGGCAGTGTATTTTGAAAAGCGATGTTTTCCAGGATGGTAACTGCCAGCAGTGTGGGGTGCTTTAGGCAACAGTGAATACAAAGTCTACAGTGCAGGAAGACTGATCAGTTTTGAAGCAATTGTTGTGCAACAAGGAAACATACTTACTGATCCATAAAATTAAAATAATCTGTGCCCTTTCTCTTCAAGCACCACACATTTAATGAAAAACACAACTTGGTGAGTCTGTCATCTCTCACCTCTGTATGCCTGCAGACACAGTCTGTTTTGACTTCAGCATCATACCCATACACCGTAAAGGAAGGATTTTCTTGGATACATACATATTGTTTTGAAGAGTGAAACGAATGTCTTAGAGTTTAATAAGCTGAAAGTCTTCAGTGAAGTTTTTAGTCCTTCTGCAATATCCATTTTATCCTCAACAAGCAACTCTCACTCCCTCAAAATGAAGTCTTTCTATTCACATTTAGAGTTCTTGTATATCCCTCAAAATCCAAGCATGGTTTGCATGCTGTCTGTCCTGAAACTGTTACTGACATAAAGAAACACTGATGTTCAGTACAGTGGGCATTTTCACATATTTCTTCCCAACACCTTTCTTTGCCCAACCAAATACTGTGTTTTTCCTGACACAATGACAATTTCCAGAAGCAAGATCCTGTCACCTTCCTTTTGCTTTAAGCACAGCTACTTGGTCCCATCACTGTCTTTGTGTAAGCTTCAGTATTCATGCGGCTGGGAGGTGAGCTCAAGCCAGTTAAACATCACAAATTCTCAACTTATATTTCAGATTGGTTACTCTGCACAGGTGCTACATATAACACAGGAGCTCATGCCAGCACAAAGAAAGCAACAGAATTAAGTGGTCCAGGTAAATTCTTCTTTCAGCAAAAGCCCAGGGAAGTTACATTAAAGAGACAGATCATCACTGCCTAAATATTTAATCAGAGCAAAATGCATAACATTCTCCAGTAACAAGACCCAGTTTATGAGTTCCCACCTGTGGGAACAGTGTCCCCAGTAGTGTCAGGAAAGCAAAAGCCTTTGTTTTAATAGAAGAATAGATGGTAAAAGATGCAGCTCATGCAGGTCGTCACACACCATGGTCTTCTGACAGTTTCACTGGTGATGTGGTTGCAAAGGCACACCAGAACCTGGCAGGTTTTTAAAATCAGTAGAATAGAGTTTGTTATGTTCATCTTCAGTGAAAAGGAATGATTATATAATTCACTGCACAGTGTACAGAGAGTCAGTTTAGGACACACAGTAATAGAGCAGCTGAGTGAAGAGGGAAAACAGAAGAGGGTTTAAAACAACTCTCTAAAAATGCATTTTGATGTAGTGAAATGAGACACTTTCAGAATTCATAATCACAGAACAGTTTGGGTTGCAAGCTACCTTTAAAGATCATCTAGTCCAGCCCCCCTGCAATAACCAGAGAAACCTTCAACTATAGCAGGTTGCTCAGAGCCCTGTCCAACCTGACCTGGAATGTTTCCAGGGGTGGGACATCTACCACCTCTCTGGGCAACCTGATTCTGAGTCATCATCCTCATCATACAAAATTTCTTCCTTGTATTTAGTCTGACTACACCCTTTATCAGTTTGAAACCATTACCCCTAGTCCTATCCCTACATGCCTTCGTGAAAAGTTCCTCTGCATCTTTCTTGTAAGTCCCCATTAGGTACTGGAAGGCTACTAGAAAATCTCCCCTAAGCCTTCTTTTCTCCAGGCTGAACAACCCAACTTTTTCACCCTGACCGCACAAAAGAGGTGTTCCAGCCCTCCGATCATCTTTGTGTCCTCCTCTGGACCCTCTCCAACAGGTCCATGTCTTTCCTGTAATGAGGACTCCAGAACTGGATGCAGGACTGGGGGTGGGGGGGGGGGGGGGGGGGGGGGGGGGGGGGGGGGGGGGGGGGGGGGGGGGGGGGGGGGGGGGTGGGGTGGGTGTGGAAGGTAGGGGGTTTGGGGGGGGTGTCTCACCAGAGCAGAGGGGGAAAATCACCTCCTTCAACCGCTGGTCATGCTTTTTTTTGATGCAGCCCAGGATACAGTTGGCTTTCCAGGCTGCAAATGCACACTGCTGGCTCATGTTCAGCTTTTCATCCACCAGTATTCCTCAAGTCTCTCTCTCCTGAAGAGTACTCTCAATCTTTTCATCCCTGAGCCTGTATTTATACCAGGGGTTGCCCCAACCCAGCTGCAGGACCTTGCACTTAGCCTTGTTGAACCTCATGAGGTTCACATGGGCCCGCTTCTCAAGCTTGCCCAGGTCCTTCTGAATGGCCTCCCATCCCTCAGGCGTGTCAACCATACCACTCGGTTGGTGTTGTCTGAACACTAGCTGAGGATGTACTCAATTCCACTGTCTGTGTCACTGAGGAAGGTATTAAACAGTACTGGTCCCAACATGGACCCCTGAGGAACACCATTTGTCACCAGTCTCCACCTGGACATTGAGCCATTGACCACTACCTTCCAGGTGGGACCATCCAATTCCTCATCCACTGAAGAGTCCACTCATCAAATCCATACTTCTCCAATTCAGAGAGAAGGATGCTGTGGGACAGAAGCCCAGATAGATGACATCTGTAGCTCTTCTCAAGCTTTAGAATAAATACTTTACCACCCAGTACAGATTGTTCGTAGCTGGCTCCTGAAAGCTAAATAAACTTTTATTTATGCTCCTGATTTTTGAAAGTGCCAAGAATGTTACTGCTATTCCTGAAAATTTTTCTCTAAATAAGGACTACAAGACTGAATTGAATATGAAAGTCAAACAAGGCTTGTTATGTATAGTAGTACAAAACAATACTTTATTGTACCCAGACTTGAGTTTTGCTTTTTGATGTGTTTTAATTCTCTTCCATCTTGCCTCATTCATCAGTGTATATACAAAATACATTCTGAACAACCTGTATTTTTTTCAGAATCTTCTTTCAAAATACAAAGAACAAACGGACACCAACCCAATGTTTTGAATGGCTGCCTACATAAGGAAACTGTAGTTGCTAAGCTCACTGCTCCAAGCAGTCTCATGTGCTTTATAACCCACAGTATTGGCACAACCCAATGTGCCAGTGGATGACCAAAGTGACCAAGAGAGAGATCCTTCTTCCTCTGTGCAAAACCCTAATTGCATTGTTGAAAATAGCACTTGCCTGAAGATGCAAATTTGTCTAATGCAGAACATTGGGGGAATGGCAAGGGAAAATATTAGAGAAGTGAATTATGTGTCAAATGCAAACAGAAGACCTAAGTCTCACACTGCAATCACAGGAAAATATTAGGCGCATTACATTCACTTGTACTCTTCAGTGTTACTGCAGAAGTTATACAAAAGTTCTTACTAATTTTATTCAAACCCTATGTAGACATGAAAGAATTCATCCTGATATTATGATAAATGATGAAACATAACATTAACATAAACTTATATAAGGAACCATGCTGACAGAGTACATGATTCTTCATTTTATGTTTTTACATTCCTCTTTCCAAGAGGCTCAGGCAGGTCTCCCATCAATTACGCTCATGCAAAAGAAGAATAACTTCAATGAAGCTTGTATAAATTAATCATTCAACTAAGAGGCAATATGTCATAGTAAGCTGATTTTGACAAAACTAGTAGATCAAAATAATAAAATTTAAAACCAAAATTATCTATATTGTCTAAGGAAAAGACTAGTAGTTTTTGAACAGATAACTGTGTATATTATTCTTTCTATTTCACTATGCAAAATTACATGTGTTAACAGCAGTCATCTGGCTGTGCTTGTTAGAAAACAAGCTCCAACAGAACTTGGCTTTCCAAGACACCCTCTGCTCTGCTTCAGACCCTCCCACTGTCATTCTGCACCTCATAACTAGAGTTTCAAAGTCTCCTGCACAGTACAGTGAACTCTACCTACTGGATCCAGGTAATTTTGTTAAACAGCAGTGTAAAAACAAAGCCAGCTAAATACCGGATTAGCAGATGACAGCTCTTCAAAAATATTCTCATTAAAGTTGCTCAGAGCACCAGAAACAGGTTTTATGTTAAAAAAAATTAAGCTCCACGGAAAGCTTCCTCCCTCTTACCATATCCTTGAGGACCTGTGAATACTGTTGTGGGTGGCAGTGTGTTGGCAGAGCAAATGCCAGCAAACTGCCTCCACTCACACAAGTGATTGATTTATCAGTTTAATAGAGCTGTAAATCAAGAAAAATGTTCCTCAAGCCTTCACAGTGAACTAAGAGCAAAAAATAGCCAACAAGCTCTTATGCAGAATAGAAAATTTAAGTACCTGTAAAATACAGCATACATTGCATTTTCCTGTCAGGAGCCCACAGAAAATCTGACCGCTGTGATTCTTAGCTACATGACACACTCCTTGAATCCTGGTGACAGAGCCCTATAACATTAACGCTGGGTGCTCTTGCTTTCATCTGTAGGGAGTGCCCACATGGGTTTTCTTACATTTTGCTCCATTTAAAACAGAAAGAAGCCAGTACAAGGGAGCTAAAAACAGTGCTACAGGGCACTAAAACAAGAAAGGATCTGCCAGCCGTATAGCACAAACAAAATTATTTGCAATCATTTGGTGATTCTGTATTTACAGAATTCAGAAAGCTACCAATGTCTATAATTGTTTGTACAAGATATAAAGTGTTGGTAATGCATAGAATCCCTCCAAAATTCCCAAATGATTCCTTCAGTACTTTTCTCCCTCCATCTTAAATACATCTCTGTTCTACTACATGCTTTTTTATTTTTTAGTTTGCAAAACTGTTTCTAGCATATATCATGCTATTTCTGTTCAGAGTTTCTCCTTCTGCAATGCCTTTCAATTATATTGACCTTCATTACCTTCCACATACCCTCTGACCTTGAGAGTCTTTAATATGTTCAACTTTATTAAGTGTGGTCTTTTCACTGTGATGCCAACTGTCTATCCCTTCTTACCACAACTTGTATAATGTTTTTACATGATATTTAATTAGAAGTCTAAGCTCTGTACTCACCAGAAATAAAAGTCAAATAATACTGATCTGCTTTACAACAACAACTTGTTTTTACTATTGAACAAAACCCCAAAATCCCCAAAATACAAAGAGCTTCCAAATTCTCTATTATATCCATAAAAGTCAGCAGTCTTGTGTATTTAAAAGCAATTCAAAATATTTCAAGAGTACTAAAATGCTTATTTCTTCTTCCAATAGTCTAGAGGCATATGCACGTGCCATGTTTGGCTATTGGATTAAATGCACTAAATGTTTAACATGCATTAAATATTACTGAAGAAGAAAACAGTGAACTCTGGCACTTGATGATTTTGCCTCATTATTTTTCTTGCCTTGCCTTTCTCTGCTAGAATTACATCAGCAGGCTGCACCCTCAGCCTTTCTTCTTTTCTAGAAAATAATCAGACTAAAATTAGGTTTTATATAGTGCAAGTATGATGAACTTCGGTGAGAAGACTACATCCCATGAAATTAAACTTGTTTACTTGCTTCAGTCTTTTCAAGTATTGTAGCAGCAAATTTTAAAATACTGATACAGCAAATGATCTACAAAGCAGAGAGTCCAGACAATAGTGATGTGTGATCCAGTTTTATAGCAACACAGTCTGCATAGGCCTGATAGCCTTGTCTAGTGCTGACTCACAGGCACACATGCTACTTGGAAGTAGTATCTCACTGTAGCTGTATAGCTGGTACTAAATTCTCTAGTTTCTCAGATTTTTATCTCAGGAGCACATTTAAAAGTCATTAGTTAATGATATTTAAAGGAAAATTCAGTTCATTCTAGAATCGTATTTACCATAAGTTTAGCAGTTTTTCAGAAAAATGTCATTTTCCTGAATCAACTCTCACACTGGGCAGACCATTACAAACTTAGAATCTCATTTTGGCTTCAAAAAAATCAAACTTCTTGAGCCAAGTCAGTAAATAAGCTGTTTGGTATGGTCAATAAATAACCAATTTAGCTCCTTTCCAAATCCATTTATAGGCAATCATGCAGACATTATGCAGTTTTGTAACTGATATCTAAATGGATACATAATAATACATTTATTAGAGTTAATAATTCCTGTTGTGCTACTAAATGGACTAGCATGGTTCATCACCATCCCTAATAGTCTCTTTATGAACTAAAAGGGAGGCTGTTGGGGAGTGACTGGTATACCACATGAACAAGGCTTCTTTAATGCACTGTTTCTCATTTCCAGAGAATAATGTTCAAACACAGGTGTCATGGGCCTACCATGTCACGTTAGGACAGATTCATTCTCACAACTTTTGTCTGAAGAGCGCAGTGACTGCAGCAGATAAAAACATGGAGAAAACTTGAAATCTTTTTTTTTTTTTTAATGATACAAAAATAAGGTATTAGCCATGCATATTATCCACCTTGAAAACTTGTTCTGCCATTGCATTTCCCATAAAAATGTGCAAAGTTAGTTTTCATCTGTCAGCTAAAGCTTTCAGATCTTCCACACACACTTGATAGCCCTCAAGCAATTTGTTTTGCAGTTACAGTTGGAGAAGAAATTGCTTCTCTCCCAAATGAAGTGCTCAGGACACAAACCAAGCTGCAGAAAAGTGATTCTGAACCCCCTCTTTGTGTTCCTCAGGCTGTGGGTGAGGCTGTATTTCCTCGTAGACCCTGGTACAGGCTTAGTTAGCCCGAGCTCATGCTTCATTTCTCAGAGCTCCTTTCCAGGCCCTGGGAAACAGATGTAACACGGTATACTTCAGCTACTTCCTCATCTCACCCTTGGGCTGTTATTTTTCTTATATTGCCATTATGTTCCTCATGTCAGGACTATAAGCAGGGCTGGTGTGAGCCATTACATGAATTACCCTTTCCAATCTTGAAAAACAGCCAATGAGCAAGGTTATTTATTAAGCTGTTTCCTGTCTCTAAGGTCTCTCCTATTTCTAGAGCTGGGGATTTTGCACACAAGTCCTTTCTATTTAATTCCTAGAGAATGTTCCTTGACATTGATTAAGCCAAGATCCATTCTTCCCCTACTGCTTGCTAAAACTTCTTTTAAAATACTTAAAAATGCTCCCCACTTAAGCTTCTCTTCCTTATCAAAAAAGAGCATTTTTAAATGGGAATAAAATGAGCATTTTTAAAACAAAATTCACATGCTTGTGACCATTTAACTAATATATTGAAAGCCAAAAATATAGATGGGAAGACCAATTTTTATCTGCTCTCCTCTGTTGTTTTAGCTGTGTGCATCCCAAGCAGAAGCCTGTAACAGCCCTTCATGTGAACCACACAGAACATCTGTGATACCCTGGACAAAGGCTCATCTATGCATGAGTGCCCACTTTCCTGCGAACAAGAAAAGTGACTCACCATCCTCTGATGCCTTCTACAACCAGCCCTGGTGACTGTGGAAAGAATTATCATATTTTGTTACTGACAGGGCATAGAAAAGATATGAGAAAGAAACAATAATGCTTCAGTGTCAATAGCAATAGAAATGACTTGCTTAATCTGCCGGTAGCCTGAGGTAGAGAATGTCACTGAAAGCTTACCTTCATAATATTGCATTTGCAGGCCAAGCCTTGTCAATCAACAGTCTCATTTATGGTTTTATATCTCTAATCTATCACTGAATAAAAGTTTTATTAAAAGTAACTGACAATATCATTCCCTTCCCTGTCACCATCTTAGCCTGAATCTCTGTCCATTCCAGATACACTGAAATCATCTATGTGGGATAGCATTTTCCAAGGAAAAAAAACCATACCAGTGCTGCCTGCACCCCTCCTCCTTCTTCCCCTGGTTGCCTCTGAGTAACCATTCATAACAATATTAAGCCAAAATGTGTATTTTAAGGCTGCTCATGCCTTGCTTGAGTAAGTCCCAGTGAGGGGCAATAGCATGGGGGTTAAGCACAGGCTTGCACCCTCCTGCTCAATGCCATGCTCTGACAGTTACTGCTCATCTTGATCAGTGTGACTGGTGCAACCACGAGACTGGCTGGCAGCATCCAGTTGAGGCTCACTGGCAGTTGTCCAGACAGATTTTGGTGTGGAGCTGGCTTATCCCTCCTGTCCTCATTGGCTTGGGTTACAGATCTGAACAAAGGCTAAGGAGTTCAGTGGAAAGAGATGTTCTTAAGTGTTCCTTCCAGTCTTTGGAAGGCAAGTAGGAGGAAAGGTTCCCTGTTCCTTCTTTTTTCCACCTAAAACATAAATGGAATTTTGGCTTCATAATGTCTACCAGTCAATGTTATTAGTATAGATCAGTAAAGCAGCTTTCCTAGGGTAGGACATGGCTTTGCACTCACTACTCAAGCTAACCTGATTTTGAGCTGAGTGCAGCTAAGCTGAACTGATTTTTGTATAAGTTCTGTCCAAGACAAGAATGCTGTCTAAGCTAAATTGAGTGAGCCCTTGTTTCACACATCCTATTTATTTTATTTGTTTTAATTAATAACTATTAAAATATCAGCTTTTAAATAAAAAAAATACAGTTACATTAGCTGTTACATAAGCACTAATAGATTTAGAAAACAGCTGAATGAGGAAAAATATGAGCTGTATGATAGACAAGGTCCTCTCCATGTCCAAAAAGTGTGCTTTTAAGGTCGTGACTTGTGACTAGCATGTATTTTAAATAAGAGGTTCCCTTTTTATTTTAAAGAATCGTGCTTCTTAAAAGATTATTCCAGAGTCTCTCACCAGAAATTAGTTTCTTAAGAGCCGAATTAATTCTTGCTGACTAACACATAATCAGTCACCCAAAACATGTGCCCAGAGAATCAAACAGGCAGCAAAATTTCACATAGCTCTGGAATTTATGTGTTTCAAATATGTGCTAAGTATTTCAAACCGATTCTAGGATGTTTCAGGTCTTAAAGTCTGCTTTTAGCTACTGTAGATCATTGCTTCTGCTTTATAAGAAACATTGTTTTACAGGTTTATAACTCAGTTATAAAAATGTGCTTCAGGCTAAAGCTCAGTATAAAAAGGTTGCAGCTAAAGGGTAATTTTTTTTCATTACAACCTTTTTCTGCTTTGTGTAGCTAGTTAAGATTACAGATGTCCTAAAAAATATCCCATTGCAGTGTAGGATTATGACCAATACCAGAAGTTGATTTATACTCTAAACTGCAGGGAAGAGAAAGGTAATCCAGTTTTAAAAAGAAACCAGCACCACCACCCAAAATGCTGCAACTATGAATTTTACATGGTCAAGGGTTTAGATTTTTAAGGAAATGTAATAGAACATGTTTTTTTAAAGAGCTGTAACTTACTGTGCACTTCAGACTGTACAAAAGGATGTGACATAACTGATGTATTACTGTTACCTACTGGGAGAACTGTGATGGAGTGCTCCTTCAGTGAATATCTATGTATTGACAACCTGGAGTTCTTTAATGCCTGGAAAATAACCAGCTAAAGTTGTTCTGTCTGTTCCTTTCAGTTAATGCAAACTTCAGAGGTTATTTATCTTAATATACAAATACATACCCAGGGTTAATAGGCCAAGCCTAGAATCTAGTTCAAAGAGGTATGCCAAGTACCAAGAGTAATGCTCAGAGACATGGCTAAACATACACAGATCGCAGATAAAATGCACAGTTAACTGACTATTGAAACAACTGGCTTGTGATTTTCCTGCAAGTCAAGATTTCATTCTCCATACATAGGTGACCCAAAGCTTCTACAGAGAATGTAATATTTCAAGGTGTCTGGAAGAAGGCCTGGAATGCATAAAGAGAGAAAGAGAGGGAGAAACAACTTTGAGAAAAGTCCTTTTCATGTAGAATGAAACCAGATCAGAAAATAAACTTGTGAGATTCAAACTTGTACTGTGTGTACAGCCCCATCTTTGTGAACATGCAGGAAGTTGGGCCACCACTTTTAGAAACATTACCCTAAACATAACTGGGAAGAAGTCAAGAAACTCAGACTGAAATACCTGTGACCCTCCCATGAGCATCACTTGCACAAGCTCAGAAGTAATTTAACAATCTCAGAAGCAGAACACATTTAGCTTAATGATAATAAGGGAAAGATTTCAGGGAGGCAAAGTTCAGCAACTTGAGCTTGGTTTTATGTTCAACTATTTGGCTCATAAACGCTAAATAGGTATTAATGCCTGTAGGGAAAAATAAGTATTAAGTTACATGAAACTACTGTAAAAAGACAGGGTTGGGGTTTGTTGGGTTTTTCTGGGGGGAGGAGAGAGGGTGATTTATGTTTTTTTTCTAACAACTGCAGAAGGGATATTATTGGGAAGTAGATATATGCTTTTTCCCCAGCCTCATCCATAGTAAAAGGAATTACTGTATTTTGCTAGGTTTCTGGACAAGTTGAAGCTGTACAGTTGATTGGAGGGTACTACATGGTAAGTATACTCAGTGGAGAACATATGCCTCAGACCTGAGCATCCACAGCACATATTCTGGTTATAATACTGTGTTCAGATATCAGTGTGAAACTTTTTGGACTTACTGTTCATTTACTACATAGTTGTTCTAGGCATACAGGGTAGAGTTACGCTTCCTAGGAACATCAGAGCTGTTGCTTTTACATTTAAGACAACCCAGAGAAAACAGTTCTAGTTCCAGTGGTTATAGATATAGTTCAAATGCTGATCAACTTCCCACCCCATGAGCTTCACGAGAGTATTTTATATATCTTTCAGAATCATATGGTCATAGGTGTTATAGGACAACCCACTTATAAATTGCTATTCATATCCTCAGCAGTAATGCTTCCCTGATGTTCACTAAATAAGCTGGGCTGCCGAAAATACCTGGCAGCCCGCCACACACCATCATCATGAGTTGGGGTTATTTAGCCTGGAGAACAAAAGGCTTCCGGAAGATCTTACAGCAGTACCACTACCTAAAGGGCCAACAAGAAAGCTGGAGAGGGGCTTTCGACAAGGACATGTAGGGACAGGACGAGGGGGAATGGCTTTAAACTGACAGAGGCGATATTTAGATCAGATACAAGGAAGAATTTCTTCCTTGTGAGGGTGCTGAGGCACTGGCACAGGTTGCCCAGAGAAGCTGTGGTTGCCCCATCCCTGGCAGTGTTCAAAGCCAGGTTGGACGGGGCTTGGAGCAACCTGGTCTAGTGGAAGGTGTCCCTGCCCATGGCAGGGCGGGTGAAAGTGGATGAGTTCCCTTCCAACCCAAACCATTCTATGATTCTGTGACCATCTAAGTATTAACTAAAAATACAGAACAGCAATATGTTTCCATGGATCAATAACAAAGTGCTTATGCCTTCTTAGAACATCAACATTATGAAGACTGTTATGTACATCCGATTTTGCCCAGTGTAGTCAAAAAACCCCACAAACCAAAACATACCACAAAATCCTGTGAAAATGACTTATGAAAAACTTCCTCCTCATCTATGTGATATTAACCTGCAAACACTGGTGATGCTCCTTTTACTTTTTATGTAGTCATCAAGCTTTGACTTTATCAATAATATTCATAAATATTGTTAGCTGACTAGAGGCTAGATGCTGCTCTATTTTTAGTTACTATTTGGCTGACTAAAACGATACATTTATTACATATTAGTTGCTATTCATACCTGAATGACAACAGTGGTGATTTCACAAGTGGCACATGCCACGCCAGATACTACATCAGGATTTACCTGAAAGGTTTAACTTTGTCTTTGGGTGTTTGAGAATTATGGGAAGAGTATAAAAAATTGAAATCTACTGAAGCAGGAAAAAACCCAGTATTTTCAATGGCAATCTAACTTCATTCATAAGAGTGAAATTTACTAATGATTAAAACTGGAAAGGAGCAAAGCCACCGTAAACCCTTCCTGGTTTCCACCTTTAGATTCCATCCTTCTGGAAGCAGCTTGCTCCTATCAATCCTGCTCACAGCAGTAAACCCATCAGTTTTAGAAAATCTGGACAGACAATGCACGACCCAGGTGATAACTGTGGTTCAAAGACCTTTTAGACAGACTGCTCACTTCAACCTCCTCAGTGAAAACATCAGCATACAAGTTTCACAGATCTGTGTGGGATTACTTCCACAAGCAGTAACGCAGCATGATACTGGGCAGACACTTCCCCAGCATGAGTAAAGAAACTTAACTAAAAAGAAAGAAGTAGGAAATATTCCTCATTCATTTTATTTATAATTTCTGTTCTTTCTGTACACTGTATCTGGACAATGTTTTAAACCACCCTGTTATTCGGCCTCTTTGTGCTCAGGAAGGAGGACATAACTTTAATCACTGGGATGAATTCACAGTTAAGTTAAAACAGCGCAGCCCTGCTAAGGGGGAGAAGCATTTATCTGATGAAATGTCAGAGGGAATTCTGCAGAACTGCTGCATCCCTAACAACAGGGCTAAAGTGATTAAGGTGCCCATGCAGAAATACACCCTTTCTGCTTAATTTAATCCCTAAATCTCATAAAAAATGGGATACAAGTACACACTCTGTTTGTACTAACGTGAAGAGAAATGCACACAAAAAGAAATGACTCATAGTAGAGACTCAAGGACCTAGAAGAGACTGTAATACTGTATCTAATTTTGGAAACCCTTGATGATTTCTATCTCCTCTTTCAATGCCAGTGGAAATAATGAAAGTTAATATCAGGTGCACCAATGCTTCCTGGCAGTTTTGACCTTTAAAAGAAAGAACTTGGATTTACAGATGACAAGATTCATTGCAAGCGCATCACATAACAACAAGCTTCTCACTTGCTAAGATTTACTGGAATACCCCAGCCCATAGAGCAACATTTCAACTCCCCCAGAAAGGGAAGCTTGCTTTACTAACAAACATCCATATCTGCAATTTTTAACAGTAATTTTGGAATCCTTTTTCTGCCTTCAAAATCATGTTAACCAATATGCTGTAAATGCATAATGCTTTTTCACATAAGGCTCATTAGCGTTTGCATATTGCAAATCTAATACTAAAGCCTTTTCATTTGTACATACAAAATGTGTAAATACAAACATGAAGCAAATATGGACTGTCTGATAATAAAGTCTAGTGAAATGAATGACTTCTGGCAAGCAAAACTAATTTAAGCACGTATGCAAGAACCTGCTATTTTGGTCTTTGGTTTTGAATACACTTACTGAAACTCACCTGAGTTACAGCTGTAGGTATTTCTGTACAAATTTATTGTATTTTGGAGACACACGTTCTGCTAACTCACACTACAGCAGAACTTCTGCTGTGTCAACAGTTACAGGTTCCCAGTAGTTAAAGCCCAGTTCTTAAAATCCTTAACTTACATTGCAGGAACAACTTTTCTATCTACTACACACTTTGAAGTATTGTTGTGGGGTTTACCTGTGAGAATCATAGAATGGTTATGGTTGGAAGGGACCCTTAAAGGTCATCTAGTAAAACCCCCCCTGCCATGAGTAGGGACACCTTCCACTTGAGTCAGGTTGCTCAGAGCCCCATCAACCTGACCTTGGATGTTTCCAGGGGTGGGACATCCACAACTTCTCTGGGCAACCTGTACCAGTACCTCACCATCCTCACCATTCAAAATGTCTTCCTTATATCTAGTCTGAATCTACTCCCTTTTAGCTTAAAATCATTACTCCTTCACATTAGCCCCTTCACAAAAGGCTGAACTAAAAAGTCTGTCCTCATCTCTATTATAAGTCCCCCTTAATAATAGGGGTTAAAAATAAGTACTGGCGACATTGTCTTTGTAATCTGGGACTTCTGCTATGATTATGTACACCTGATGGGTATGTGTACGCCTGCAGGTGTCCAGAAAAGAGCAAGCCTTTATTTAGATGGCAGTTACACAGACATAGACATACAGGATGGTGATTTACTATTACAATCAATATGAACAATAAATTAGGTCTGGACTGGATAAGCAATGCAACATGCTGAACCAGACTTCACACTGGCAGTTTCAGAACTTTTTTCTCTCCATTTCAACAGCTCTTGTTCTAGCTCTCCTAGCATTATCTCTGGCTTATCTGGGGCCTGTAGACCAAGATATGCTCCAAATTCAGGTTTTTTTCCCCACAAATCCCCTGAATATCATGTTTTTTCTTGACATGTATGGCCAAGATGGAAAGAAGATAGACTACAAAAGTGACATTCCTTCCGTCTGCCTGAAATGCCCCTTCTGGTTCGTAAAGACAAACAGTCAGAAAATTATAATCAATCCAATACATTGTACTGCTGTGTCTACTGTGTATGTGATGCAGTAAATCCTGGGCACTGGCTCCTAATATCCAGAGGTTAACTGAGAAGCCTGCCTTGCTTGTCTGAAACCCAAAATGCTTTTCCAGCACTTCACATTCCAGAGACCCATTCACCGACTGTATTCAGCGATCCTATGGGAATTCTTCACACATACCCTTTAAAACAGAAGAAACCCCATTTTATTAAAAACAAAATAGTATTTAACATTCAGTAGTGCAGTGCCACAGCAAAAAAGACTTTCTGCCTCTATAATGTATCACTGTAATGTTTTATTTACAATTATTAAAATTTGCTGTAGGCTAAAGAGTTATAAATTTTGAGATTTCACCCAACTAGTTTGAAGTTGTCTTGTACATTAAATTTTTATTTAAAAAGTCATTCAACTTCAATGTCATAACTTGAACAGTTTAGAAACTTCATATGAAGTCCACCTTGCATTCAGTTACACTGAAACACTGCATATTTCTATCCACTGAATTTGCCTCCAGTTACTCTCAAGCTTCTCTTTTCCTCCATTAAATAAATATGCTCTTGCAAGCAAACTTGAAAGACATCCCAGAGCAGCATCAGACTGTTTGCATTCAGATGCAAAGATGACTGCTTAGTCCAAGCCAGCATATTGCTCAATTATATTTTACCCTAAAATCAGGCCCATGAAAGTAAATGAATGCTGTTTTCACAACCCACTTCACCTTCTGTAGTATGATGCACAGATCCACCTCCCCTTCCACTGTTCCGTATCAGTTGTCAAGTAGAGATTGCTGCAAGTGTAGGCCACAGGACAATTTTACTGTTTTCTCTTTCATAGTAACTTAGAAAAACAAAAACAGTAACAAAGATATTAGGTTTCTGGGTATTTTTATGAACTGAAAAACAAGAATCAAGATGTAATGAAATAAAAGATATAAATTATGGAAAGAAAAGCTGAAAATCAATATACTGCTTTTCAAAGAGACTGTGCTCAGTTTAAAAAAGAGTAGCTTTTGCTGAATGTTTAATTAGCTATTGATTGTTAAAGAAGGATTCCAGACCATCTGGAGCCTATTCTGTAACTTGATCTGGAAAACTCTACCTCAAAAACAATGCCTGTGGGAAAGCACAAACATGCATAACACAACCTCATCTACAGGTTTCTGGTATATATTTTAGATAAAACTATGCCA